GAATCCCTTATATTGGGCCATTTTTTAATTAAAACTCTGAATACCTTCGAAAAAACACAATTAGTTACAAATGCTATTAATACTATAAATAATACAGGTGCTTATTTATTGAGTTTCGCATTTGATGGATTACCGACTAATTTGTCGTGTTGTGAACAGATGGGTGCCTCATTTGATCTTGACGATTTTCGACCATATGTAATAAATGACGCGAATGGAAGAAAAATTCATATTGTATTTGATCCGCCGCACATGATCAAATTAATAAGAAACTGTTTGGCCGCTAAGAAATGTTTAAAAGATTGTGATAACAATCGTATAGCCTGGAGCTATTTTGAAAATCTTGTCTCTAAAAAGAGCAATTTAATTGCACATAAAATGACAAAAAAACACATCGACTTTCATTCAAATAAAATGAATGTTGGAATAGCCGCACAAACACTGTCCTTATCTGTTGCACAATCGATGCAAATTTTATTAGATAATGGTGATCCGATTTTTGCCAATGCTGCTGGAACCATAACATTTGTTAAGAATTTTAACAAAGCATTTGACATTTTCAACAGTAAACATTTGAATTCTAATAATTTGTTCAAGAGAGGATTAAATCAGGCTAATGCGGACAAAATATTTGAATTTTTAAATTATTTAACTAATTATATAAAAGGTATCAAGCTTGGAGCAGCAGAAATATTAAAAACGAAGCGAAGAGTGGGATTTTTAGGGTTTTTAGTAAATACGACCACATTACGCTTCTTTTACGAAGAATTTGTTTTACCAAAAAAAATAGAATATATTTTGTTTTTTTTTTTGTGGTCAAGATACACTTGAAAGTCTTTTTTCAAGAATTCGTTCCATGTTGGGCGCAAACTCAAACCCAACTGCTGAACAGTTGACCGGCATACTAAGACAATCAATTATATATGCTGAAATAACCGCTCCAGATACAGCAAATTGTAGAGATAATTTAAATATTTTGTCCGTATCAAGCAAACCCATCCAAATGCAAAACAATTTGGTTTTAAATAATCCATTAACGACGGAAAATACGACTAATTTAATTGCAAATGTGCCATTAAATTTTAAAGACATGTTTACAATAAAAATACGCGCTGGAACCATAGAGAAAAGAATTCGTTATGCCCGTGCTGTTTGTAATAATGATGAATGTAAAAATATATTTTCTAAGGATTGTGATAAAATCGAAGGTATTTTCTACGAAAATGGCTCAGCACAACGACCCACAAAAAGTACTGTGAAAATTTGTGAAATTATTTATAAGTTTTTTGCAATTCACTGTGATATTGTCAATTTCAATTATATCGAATTTCATAGTCAAATTTTAAAAATAATTCCGTTCAATGATTTATATAATTACGTTGATTTTACACATAATCCTGAGCACAAGTCACAGTTCATTTTATTGATAATTGATGAATATATCAGAATTCACGCAACATTTTTAGCGAAAATATCGACAATACAATTACATTGTAAAATTCTCGGAAAATCATCCCAAAAACTGAAACATAATTTGGGTCAATAGTATTTATTGCTTATATCGATTTATGTTTAACAAACTTTCTTGTGATGTTACGTATCAATTTATGTTAAAGTTTTTATATTTGCAATTTTTATAGCCGATAGATCGGATTGAATGAAATGTTTAAAAAACGTTCATAATTTATTGATCCAAATCGAGTTGAATGATCAGGTACAATTTTTATATTATATTTTTTAGCATGAAAACATGTTCTCAATTGGCCGATAGAAAAATCAGTTTACAGAATATTTCGTAGTTTGAATACACTGGAATACTTAAATATTTTATTTTATTGTTTATTGTTTCACAATTTACCTTAAATTGACATTAATCGTTGCTCTGTAAAAAATAAAATCCAAACAAAACCAACTTTTTTTTTAAATATTTATTTGTGTTTTTTGGCCGATAAAAAAGTGTTTCTATCGGTTTCTATTTTGACATAGACCTGTGATATTAATTTTTTTTAACTGCCAAGTTTAATTCTGTTTTCTGTTGTATTTTTTACGAATTCTTTTATTTTGAGTCTGATAGAAAGATAATCCAAATTAATTTAAAATAATTTCAATTTTGTAAAACATTCATCTGTAAATCTGTTCATGCGTTCGGTCGCGTTTGCCGTACATTTTTGTTCATTAATAAATTGGCCGATAGATTTTCCTCATATACTAACATTCTTTTCATATGATTTCCTTAATTCTAGTAAAAAATTGTTTTTATGTTTATATTCTAGTCATTGTAATAATATGTCATCCTTTTAAAAAATTTCAGTTAATTTCTTTATATATTTTAATATATATCCTTTAGCGATTTCAATATTTCATTTTTATCGGCTTTTGTCTTTAGTATTTTTATCGTCTCTTTATTACATATTTTCGTTCTTTTTTATCAATTTTGGTTAATTTTGTCAAAATGTTGAGAGAGAAAATGGATCTGATTCACAAATTACCGCAAAATACTTGTTAGGCTCGGTTCAGCTTCAATCGATCGGCAGCCGTTCTATGTTGATCAATGGTAAAATTGGCATGTTGTCCACGGCGTTGGTGTTTTCCTGTCAAGTTATTATTATAATGGATCCGCAAGCCGCGTCTTGTGAAATATTTTTCACAAAATTCACACTTCAAATCTTTGATAGGGTTTGAAGCAACACAAAATTCTTCCGTGTGATCAATGTATGAACTGCTTTTATTTGTGGAATAGTTACAGTTGGTGCACTGGAAACGGTTTGAATTTGTCGGCTGTTTACATTTTCTCCCTTTTGTTAAATTGATGGGCAATGACGGCACGTTCAATGAAACATTTTCGTCAGTTTCGACGACATCTGCCACTGAATTTTCTTCCAAATCTTGATTGATTGGCGTCAAAACAGCGTCGTCCAATAGCCGCAGTCGTTCGATAGCCGCAGTCCTGGCCATAGCATTGGTATTGCTTTTGGTGGCAGCCTCAACTAGTTCCTTCTCTTTCTCTTTCAAAAGTGCTTCCAACTGGGCGATTTTAGCACAATATTCCATTGCTTTTCTCTCCTTTTCTTCCAAAGCAATTTCCAATTGACAAATTTTATCGGCTGCTTCAATTTCTTTTTGTTCGTTTTTTTTCATTTGCTCAATGCCGATTTTCTTTAATTCCTTAATTTCACCATCTTTAGCCCAATTACGTTTAGAATAATCAGCCAGTAAATCATTCATAATTTTTAGTCGGATTTGAAATTCTTGTTGCATTTGGGTTCGATTTTTATGGAATTCCGTCATCCACCGAATTTCACATCGTTGCTGTTTTGTGTTTATTGGTGCATTAAAAATCTTGTCATTTTTCTTCTTTTTTGGACTTGGTTCGTCTGGATGAATAGGCAAATGTATTATTTTTTTCCCAGAACCGACATTCTTAATGTTTTTTATTACGCGCTGTAGTTTGTACTCTGATTGAGACATTTTATCGATGAATGAATCAAATATTTGAAATGTAACACAATTAAAAACAATATCCAGCGATGTCCAGTAAAAAAAAAACACAAAAAATACACAATTAAATGCAATTTAACAATAGTTAAACCAAAGCCGAAACTAAATAAGCCGATAAAAAAAAACAAACATTAGGTTTTGACGTTTGGATTTCAATAAATCACGCCGATGGACTGCAATGGAAACGGCGAATTGAATAAGTTAGAATTAAACGTATACACTCTATATCAATTGTTTTTAATGAATGTGAGGTTATGATTTCTTATCATGTCTATTCGTTTCTATTTGTTTCTATTCTATTGATTATGCTGGATCGTTAGAATTTGAAACCCGTTAAAAACAAAAAGAAATTAATGTAATTAAATCGAATCAGTTTTTGTATGAAGTTTGATGAAGTTAAATGTTTATTTTTAAATGAACAAAAATTAACGATACATCGCAATAAATGGATTTTTATCAGTTTTTTTTATCAGTGTTCGTATTCGATATCGTTGGGTGCATTGCTTGTTGATGGCATCGTCTTGCTTTTTGAAGGCAATTGAAATGATTCGTCATCGTGATCTACTTCATCATCAACGTGTGGATCTATAATATTTTCCACTGAAGTCCAAGCTAGTCGTGAGCCAAAATATTCCATCACGTTTGTTGAGTACTTTTTGGCCGTTTCCCAATCAATTAATCTGTTTTCATTTTCGTTTTTGAAACGCACCAAAAAGTATTTTTTGCCATTGCGCTGGCCACAACCAAGTATATGATCGAGTACTAGTATGAAAAAAAATTGTATTAAAAATTCTAAGCCGATCAAAGCCGACAGAAAAAAATTATAATTACCTTTTTTTTCGTTTTCCTTTTTGAGCATATATTCGCGCACCATTTCAATACAGCCGAATAAATTTTCTATCGGCTCCCAAGTTGATTCTTCTTCTCCCTTCCATTTAATTAGAAATTTTTCCTGATGAATAAGGATGAATAATTGAACAAATTGAACTTTGTGTTGAATTCTTGTAACATCTTGTAAATTTTTGAAAATAAATCAAATCCATAAAAAAAAACAGTAATCGACAGTGATATACTTACTTTTCCTTTTACGACTCGGTGGCCGATTATGCTTTCAACTTCGTACGAATCGCTCATTTTTCAATTTTTATAGTTGCCGATAGTCGCAGATAGTTGAAAGTGGTTGAAAGAAAACTCAAGATTGAACGTAATAAAATCAATGTGAAATTAAAGAACACAACAAGTTATTTATTTTATTATTTTTCAAAATAATTCAAAACGATTGAAAATGATTAAATGATGAATTTGGATTATAATGGATTCAATTAAAATTTAGATAGCAATAATAGCTGACATGTCGTGTAATGTTTGATGTTGCTTCAAAGAATGGCTGCAATCGAATGACGATATCGGACGATATAGACACGGCAGAACACAGCAGAATATAACGGAATCGAATGGAATATAATGATTTGCATGAATATGAGTACATACAAGTTGGTACAAGTGCGTATTCGTACGTATGTATCGATGTGAGTGTATTTTGGTACATTTTAATGCATTGGTATCGATTGGTATTGAATGCTGCCGAATGTTGTACCATGTTGTACTAAATTTTGTCTTCAAGTCTCTTTGCTCTGAAACAAACTGGTCTATGAACCGTTATCCCATCATACCATGGCCTTTTATTTTCTTTGTTGTTGTCACCAGAATTTGCTTCTGAATCTGAATGTATTTGTAGATTGGAAAATTGCTGAATTATATTTGTATCTACATTGAAAACAATTTAAAAAAATAAATAACTAAATATTTATACGCATTTATATGAACCATGAAAAAAGATAAAAAAGATACGTTATATTTATGCCGATAGATAAAAGAAAGTGAAGAAAATTTCAACCATTATTTTATGGGGCCGATAGAAAAACATATTATCACCAGACACTCTTTTACCTGTTGATAGAATTTCGACTGCCTTTCCATCTGCTTCACACTGTTGATCAGACACTTCCTCTGTTTGTGAGTGCGTCACGACAGCTGGAATCGTGGGTAATTCAATCGGTACATCGTGCAAATCAATTTCGTGGTCATCGTTTTGTATCACAGACAAATGACCTATTTTTCTAGGTTGTTCTTGTTGCGATTTACCAATGTCCAATTCTGAAATGAAAATGATAAATACAAACATTTTTTGAATATTGTCAGCATCGGTCAACATATAGCTGATAAAAATAGTTTTCTACAAGTTCAGTAATTTACCTGTTGATTTTAGTTCGGCAACATCATTATTCTCACCGTGTTGGCCAGACACAATTTGTGTATGCATTACATCAGATGATCTCGAAGTTAATTCGATCGGATTATCGTCTAGGTCATTAGGCGAATAAATTTCGATTTGGTCATTTATTGTCACAGACAAACGACGCGATTTCCTTCGTTGCTCTTTCTGTGAATGTGAACCAATGAATGTGTGAGTACGTTTTAATATGCCCTTTGGTCGAACAAACTGATTGAATGAGGAATCAATGGTGGTTTCCAATTCTGTGATAAAAATGATAATATTATACATTCGATTAACTTACATTGTCAATATGTGTCCATATGTGTCAATATTTGAAGCGATTTAAACAGCCGATAGAAATGGCATACTCAGACATTTACCTGGAGACTTTAGTTCAATCGTATTCGCATGCGGCTTATCTTGCTGGTCAGACTGTGGTGTGGATAGACTCTCGCATAATACTTAAAAAAATTTTTTTTATTAAAAACGATTTAAAATGAAGAAAACAACATATTTAGTTCGATTTGGCTACTGATGAATTTAAATCCGTTAAAGCGCGTTAAAGTTAGAATAGTACAAAGAACATCAAAGAAGCCGATAGAATTGCAATTAATTGACGAATCAACAATTTTGATTGAACAGATCTGAAAACAAATATGTATATGCGTGTACGTGCGTGTATATGAATTATTCACCTGTTTGATGTATAATGGCGGTGTTTCTATTTGTCCCATATTGCTGGTTGGATGATTCGCACATTTGTGAAGATGATTTATCAGCTGGAAGCGAAGGTGATTCAATCGGTACATTGTGATCATTTTGTGATACTGACAAACGACACACTTTTTTTGGTTGTTCTTTTTGAGAACGACCAATAACTGTTTGTCTTCGTTTCATAATTGCCTTTGGCCGAATCATCGACGTTGATTGCCGACGCAATGGAATATTTTTTGGCTCCATTAATATTAAACGGGCTTCCAATTCTGGAACAGTTTCAATCAATACCTGTACATTGGTAAAGTGCTCTAGCTGTTCATGGGGGTTCGTGTCTTTGGCCTTTACAAAGGCCGACAACATATGTCTCGTCACTGAAAAACAGTTATAAAGCCGATGAAAACTTGCAATTTTTAATACAAATAGATAATATGCGAAAATATGAATATTTTTAATCACCTCTTCGTGAAACCATTTTTTGTTTTTTTTTTGTATTTTTTTATTTGCGAAAAACACTCACAATTTGATATTTTGTAAATATTTATGACCACTTGATAGCACCTAATAGCGATCTCAAGCACACGTTGTCAATACAATAT